CCCCCCCCCCCCCGGGTATCTCATCTTTCATCATCCAGGTTGGAGACAGGATTGTGAGCATTTGTGGAACATCCACTGAAGGCATGACTCATTCCCAGGCTGTCAGTTTGCTGAAGAATGCTTTGGGCACCATTGAGTTACAGGTAGGAATGTTACCTGCAAATTAACATGTAGAGGAGGTAGAATTCATCTTCCAATTATTCACATTATGATTTATATATTGTGATGGCTGTCTAGAATCATTTGCCAGCCCCATAAGGTAGGTCAGATCAGGAAATTAACTGCACAGGAGGCCATAAACTATTTTTTATTGAAATTGGTTGTAATAACAGAATCTTGCAAATAAATTCTATTTCTCCCCTTCTTATACTACAGTGAATTTGGGCTGGTTTCTTTTCCTTTTTTAAAAAAATACTTTATTAAATTTCTTCAAAACATAAACTAAAAATACCAAACAAAATTATTAAGGATAAGTATAAGAGAAGAGGAATAAAAAAACCAAAAAGAAATTAAAAATAACTTCCAATTTTCTTTGATATAGTTACAAATATGTATATCAAAAATTCAACATTATCCAATATTTCTATAATCATAGTCTTAAATCATCAAATCACAAAATATATCATTTTTATATTCTATATTATTCTGTATTGGTTTTCTAGCAAAAAAAACAAAACAAAAACCCAAACATATATCCAAAAGTGCTTTCCACGTAGAAAAAGAAAGTGAGACAAAGTCTTTTCTTTAAGGTAGTCAATTTTGCCATCTCAGACAGTTCATTAATTTCAGCATCAATTCTTTGATTATGGGAATCTGTAAGGCTTTCCATCTCTGTGCAAAGAAAAGTCTGGCTACAGTTATATATGGAACAGTTCCCAGCTGCTTGTCCATCAGATCTAAACAAAAGACCTCTGATTTCAGTTGTATATTTGTTTTAAGAATTCTCTTAATTAAAATACGTATTTGATCCCAGTAACTCTTAGCTTTTGTATGTGCCCATCTAAGGTGATATAAAATGCCTTCATTGGAAATTAATATTTCCAATATATGTGTCAAATCTGACTTGACTCCATAGCTTGCACCTGCTTTCGCCGATGGGAGGAGGAAGGTGAATTCCTAAGAGGGGGGAGGCTATGTAATGCAAGTGAACCTTCTGTTGCTGGAGAAATGTTATCTACCAAGGCCACCTCATGAAGAATGTTTGACCAGAGCAGACAGTTTTTTCCCCAAAGAAAAAGAACTGAACTCAGTTACGGTGTAGGTGGCCCAGAGGGGAAGAGGGAAATTAACTATGAAAATCCTAGAACTGACTTTGCTTCTGCCACGCCTAGATAGATTTTTCAGTAAAGCTGCACTCTTGATCAATCTAGAGAGCTGGGACTTTCTTTTGTTGAAAATGCCAAATGGAACGGTTGACAATACGTTTGACCCGATGATACAACTTTGATAATTTATCAGGCGTTAAATATCAGTGATACATTATATTACAGAAATTGTCTTTCAAATTATAGTTCAAAGTAAATTGTAATCTCTTACTCCACGTGTTCCCACTGTGGTAGCATTATATTATATCCCAAATATTTGGCCTACTTAGTCACAAAGTCTTCTTGTATATTCATTTTACATATCTTGGCAATGACATGCTCCTCCTTAGAAACACAAATTCAGCTCAAATTCAGTTCTCTCTTTTGTAAAACTAAAATTATTCTTGTTCAAACTTAAATCTTTTGGATACCTCAACATAGGCAAACCGTTGACATAAAACTGTCCTTTTCCAATTCTTCCCTTGTTTTTAATTTAAGGTCTCCTTCAGAAAATGTCACTAAATCTGCCTTAAATCAACCAAGTTGGTGTGGCTTATGAAAAGCTTCTTGAGATGATAACCATATCTCATTGTTATGCTTCAGAACTATTGTACCCAGGCAATAGTTCACATATATTTTCCTCAAGGTCATTTTTACTTTCTACATCTATATTTGTGGTACTTTTTAAAAGCTGAACAAGAATCTGCAATCAGTATGTTCTTTTAAGGTACATTTAGAGTATAAGTTGAAGCACAAGGTATTTTACGTACATCATCACATAGGTAAACTTGCTTTAAATAGGCAAGCGTCTGTCCAACCCACTGCTGTGCAAACGTCTGTTAGCTCATTCCTCTGTGTGATCAGCTGCAGTAAAAAAAATGTCCCAAAACATCTTTATTTGGAAACCAGGCATCTGGCTAATGTTATCATACTAGCAGCCTGGCTTGGGCATTTATATCATAAATCTAGCATTCTGGACATCATTGCTATATTTAGGTGTTTAAAAAAAGGTTATAAGCAGGAATGTGTTTCTTTAGGGACTAGGTTCTATTTGCAACTAGACATAATAACAGTGTCTGTCTATATGCTGTGTGTATTTATGGAGGCCTAGGGATTTATATGTAGTCCTTCACTTATGAAAGACCCTTCCCCCCTCCCCAAAGCTACTTATGACCTGGTTTCACATTTATGGCTGCTGCAGTGCCCACAGGGTTGTTCACCCTTGTAAAAGATGCAGCAGCTGCTGACCCCTCCCCCCCATCAGTTTTCCCTGACCCATCCCATCAGTTCCTTGCAGGACTTTGGCCTGCTCCCAACCCAGTTATTCAGTCACCCAAGCTTGTGGGCCAGGCCTTCTTCCCATCCTGGGCCTACCCAGTTCTAACAGCTCCCCGTGCACCGACAGGTTCCGCTACCTGGCTTTAGGCTTCGTAGGGTGGCTGAGTGGCTGGGAACAGGCTGAAGTCTGCAGAGAACCTGAGGGGTAGGGAGTGGATCAGGGGGTGCCTGAGAGGATTGGGGAAGGCCTTGGGAAGCCCAGTACAGGCAGACCTGGACCTGCCCAGGGCTTCCCCCACACTTGCATCCGTGCTCGATTTAACAAACCACACATTCATTTAATGGCCACATCAGGGAAAGCAGGACGGGGGGGGGGGTCATTAAGCGGGGCCCATCTCATTTAATAGCCATCACCATTTGTAATCATAATGGGTAGGTTCCATTACGGTCATAGATGGATGACTACCTATAGCAGTGATGGTGAACCTTTTAGAGACCGAGTGCCCAAACCGCAACCCAAAACCCATTTATGTATTGCAAAGTGCCAGGGCCACATCAGCATTGTAGTTCCCTCAGGGAGGGTGAGGTGTGTGGCCCACTGGGTGGGCGTGGCCAGGGTGGTTACAGCAGGCTGGGTGGGTGTGGCCAGATAGACATGGCCACCTCGATGTTCTAACACCTCTACTCAAGTTTGCTAGCCGGCCGTTTTGCCTGCTTTGTGCTGGGCAGAGCAGCGGCCTAATGGACCTGGGCGAGCTGCTAGTGGTGGCGGTGCATGTGCCCACAGAGAGGGCTCTGAGTACCGCCTCTGGCACGTGTGCCATAGGTTCGCCACTACTGACCTATAGAATTGAGAAATGAGCTTGCTGTGGAACCCAATTCCCTCCATTCAGATCAAATATGCAGCGTTCTCTGAATTTCTCTTCATGTTCAGAAAGAAATTATCCTTTCTGTAACTAAAAGAGCTAAGCAGAGCACTAGTTGAATGATGATTGTAACATGCACAAGGCAATTATTACCTAATTTCAACTAAAAAGTGAGATAAGAGAAAAAGGGAAAAGGGAAGAGAAACTGAACAGATATTAAAATCAAACAAGCTTGCAATACATAGCAATAAAACACGTGGCTTAGTTTAAACTTGAGGACAGGATGAATAGCGTGTGGAAATGAGTGAGTGAGCTCAGTAGCTGGCTATGAATATTATTTGAGACATGAAGACAAGCTAAACACATACAGGAGCAGAAGAAAACTAAACAAACCTTCAGTTGCTTTGTAGGTAGAGTTATGCCTCTTAATGAAGTTTGATTATAGCTCTATGCCTTTAAAACATTTTAAAGAATATAAAAATTCAGACCAATTTTTGTTTTGTAGGGCTGTGTCTATCTTCCCATATAATAATCTGTATACTCGTTTGTTTATGTTTAACACTAACTTGCAGGTTGTAGCTGGTGGAGATGTCAGTGTCATAACTAGCCAACAGCAAGATCCACCAACATCTAGTCTAACATTTTCAGGTCTAACTTCAAGCAGCATCTTTCAGGATGATTTGGGGTGAGTTTTATCAACTTAATAGTGGTTAATATGGATTTTTCTAACTTAACTGCCAAACCCACAGTAAGAAAATGTACTTAAATTGAGTATCAGTTCTACTTAAAATTTGCAACAGTCTATTGCAAGCTTGTAGGTCAAGATTTTTATAACTAGGGAAGTGCTTTGAGGCGCCATTATTTCTGTGAACATAACAAAAATATGCCACTGAAAGAGTTTAATACAGAACACTGATAATTAAATAATAGTGGAGGAGAAAAAGAGGATGAGAATTGTCAGCCCAAATCAGTTCATTGCAAAATGAAGACGTCTTTGTTAAAGGTTATTTACTGTTGTGTGTGTGTGTGTGTATGTGTATATATACACGCACTTATCTATGTTCAATAATATCCTTGAAGATGTATATTATCTGTACTTATCTATGTATGTTAGACAATCAAGCATGTTTAAAGGATTTATTGCTAAGATAAACAGTGAGACACCTTTTTTTGTGTGTTATAGGCCGCCCCAGTACAAAACCATCACTCTGGATCGAGGGCCGGATGGCTTGGGCTTTAGCATTGTAGGTGGATACGGAAGTCCTCACGGAGATCTGCCCATTTATGTTAAGACAGTATTTGGAAAAGTAAGAGCTTGATACCAAATTCATTTACTAACTAGATGTTATGTTTTAAATCCAAACAATCCAGACTTTGACATGGTCCTTCCTGTCTTCTCTAAAAGATTGATTCTGTGCCGCCATCAAGTCTGTATTGATCCTTAGCATCTATATAGATAATCTAAGGCACTATCTGGGATTGGTGTGACCGAAGGCAAAGTATTATACAATCAAAACCATCTAGAATAGAGGTTTTCAACCCTTTTCATCTCATAGCATGCATTTCACACGCAGGACTTTCCGGTAGTGAAACCCGAAATCCCATGACATCCCAGGTACTGGAAATAGGGAGAAGAAATAGAGGTGGTTCACCGATGGTGATGTCATGGGAGGTGGGGTCCTGGCTGAGAAGCACACCTGTAGACTCTTTGCAGGGTACCAGCATGTGCCACACATCGTTTGAAAATTGCTGATCTACAAAGTATGAGGTGGCTCACCTCTAGCTCTTACCTTGCTCTAGTGCAGGCATGTCAAACTGCCGGCCCACGGGCCGGATACATCACGCCAGCAATGGGGAAAAAGTCACGATATGTCGTGTGATGTCACGTGACGTCGCGAGTTTGACATGCCTGCTCTAGTGTCTTAATAACTTTGTCCTGCCTACCTTGCACTACACAACAGACTTGAATGCCTGATAGGAATAAAAAGAAAAAAAAATGCCTCCTATTTAGTAGGGCTTTATTTCACTATCTGTAGTTCTTTTTTAAAACAGGACACTGTTATCTCTAAATCTTATGCATCTAATATTTGTATGCTCCAGAGCCGCGTTTCATTTTTGTGCATCCTGGAATCTTTCTGTAAATCCATATCCATGTGCTAAACTGGAATTACTTTATCCATCCATCCATCCCTCCATCCATCCCTCCATCTATATCCATCCATCCATCCATCCATCCATCCTATCGAGAGTAGTTGCAGTTTAGCACATGGGTGTGGATTTACATATACATACACACACACACACACACACACACACACACACACATACACTAGCTTGGTAACAAAATCTTCGAAAACAAACCCACAAGCTTGGAGAATAGATAGATGATAGATAGATAGATAGATAGATAGATAGATAGATAGATAGATAGATAGATAGATAGATAGATAGATAGATAATGACTTAGATTTTTTTTATTATACAGAATTTGTCTCAAAGCCCGCAAATAAAAACATTTGCATTAAAGTAACTGTAGGATAATGTTCTACGGTTCTCTCTACTACGACTCATTGTTTAATGCAAGAGGACTCTAATGAAGAAATATTTGAGGTGAACAAGATCGCAAGTTGTAAGAGTTGAATACTTCTTGATTTTGTCCTCATGCAAAAGCAGCCCATTGTTAAGAAACCCATTGTATCAAAAATTCCCATGGTATATGAATTATATTGGTTGGGGTCAGTCCAAATGTAAAGCCAAAACCAAAGAAAAGACATTATGATATAGCCTGTGGCCTCAGTTGGACACCCTATATGTATTCTGTAAAATAAAATCTGTTTTTTTTTAAAAAAAAACAAAAACATTGTAGGGGGCAGCAGCAGAAGACGGGCGCCTTAAAAGAGGGGATCAGATCCTTGCAGTCAATGGGCAGAGCTTGGAAGGAGTCACCCACGAAGAAGCTGTCGCTCTTCTAAAAAGAACAAAAGGAACTGTGACTTTGACTGTTCTCTCTTAAGTCCTGTCCCCAAAGATGAGATGGGAGTTTATTTGTTTGTTGCCAGGGTGTTTTCAATCAAGAGTGAAAAATAACGAATCGTCTTATTTTGATCTATGTGTAGACATATTGTTGGATTACAGAGACTGGATTTGAAAGAGGCAGTAATAAAATCAGAGTAGGAAAAAGTGGAATGGAAAGGGGAAAATGTATGGTGTGGTAACCTGGAAGGGCACGTTGTGTGATTGTTGAGTAATTTATAATGCGGAATTCTGGAATTTCTGGAAGACACAAAACGTTGGCTATTGGTTAGCCAGGGTTGACTTAAAACTCTCAAACATATATATTCATTTGATTAAATGTTATTAATATCCCTGTGCCCAACATGAGATCTGAGACAAACTGTTTTCTGGAATAATAGTGCTTAAGAAAAACACTTTTTAAAAAAAAAAGAAAGTAAAAAGGTTTCCTGATCTTTCATAGAATGATTAAACTGAATTGATCTTCATATTCTTTTTTCAGGAGACAGAACATATGTGGTAGTAATACCTAACTGTTGCAAAGTCCCCCAGAATTCAATATATTTTCTCTTCTTTCTTTGTGGGGTCATCAGCATTGATAAACAAACTTTTCACAAGTCGAGACAAAATAGCTTTTTGTCACTGCAATATATCTCATTTTCACAAATGACCCAAGAATTATTAATGGAAAAATCGATCCCAAATTCTGGCTTCTAAAAATACATTTAAAATTTCCAATGCTTTGTTGTTTGGTGGCAGCAAAAAGAAAGTGAAAGCTTGACCTGCTGATTTTAAATCACCTAATTAAAACATTATGATATTTAACTTAGAATATTTGTTAGCTTTTCATACGGATGCTTGCATAGCAGGTTAGTAAAAAAGTGGCCTCAAGCAGTTCTAATACACCAAACAAAGACATAGATCCGACATCCTTCTTCCCAGATTTTAAAGGTTGTGTTACTGCAGAAGACAAAAACGGTCTTTAATAATTTTCCTGCAGTTAAAATCTCTAGAGTTGGGTAATGCTTTGAGCTGACTTATGAGGAGCTTGTTTTCTGTTTTATCCCAAAGTCTGCGAGTTTTACTCGACAAATATAAGCCAGGTTTCTTTGGGCCGCAGACCACCCAGTGAATTTCTTGTGATCGACTGGAGCCCATAAGATCACAATGCTAAATGTCAGTAGTGAATTACAATAAAAAGGAGTTTTGTGGTTTTTAAAGCACATAAGCCAGGGGTGTCAAACTGCCGGCCCGCGGGCTGGATGAGTCATGCCAAAACCACGCCCACCCCATTGCCAGCAATGGAGAAAAAGTTGCGATATGTCGTGACATGTCACGTAACGTTGCGAGTTTGACACCCCTGACATAAGCATTAAAAGAGTTGTTAATGCCCTCTGATTGGTTTAACCTTCATTTAACACACACACACATCACACATATATGCATACAGATACATATAGTGGTCTTAAGATGCAAAGAAACACCCAACCTTCTATTATTTTCAGTGATAACATTGCTCAATGTTTGCATGTCTTGGAAGACGTGCAGGTGCAAACTCTCTCTCTCTCTCTCTCTCTCTCTCTCTCTCTCTCTCTCTCTCTCTCTCTCTCTCTCTCTCTCTCTCTCTCTCTCTCCCTCCCTCCCTCCCTCCCTCTCTCTCTCCCTCTCCCTCTCTCCCTCTCCCTCTCCCTCCCTCTCCCTCTCCCTCTCTCTCGCTCCCTCACCTTGTTAACTTCTCTTTGTTCCTAGTAACAACCACTGATTCCATATTAACGGTATTTGGTTAAGTTAGGGCCTTGATCATTTACAGTTATAACAATGACGAAAAAGTAACCTTGCAACCGATCCTTGCATTTACAACCTTTGCAGGTCTGTAGAGCAAAGGAAAGACAATATAACATTGTAAGTACAATTTCTGTTTCGCTGGGCGACCACTTCATTTAATGACCAAGTTTCAGGTCTCTGTTGTGGTCATGAAATAGGGCGGCCTATATTCTTGTATTATGATAGTTTGTAAATTCTGCAATAGTTCAGCAGGATTTTAAAAATGCAACTCAAAATGCCACTAGTTAGGAATAGAGAAACCTAGAAAGCCCTCCAGGGGAATTTATTTTTAGTTTAGTTTAGAGCACAGGTGTCAAACTCGATTGAGCCAAGTGACGTATCGTGATGCAACGTTTTTTGCCTTTGCGGAGCCGGGGTGGGCGTGGCCTGTGCGTGACGCATCCGGACCGCAGGCCGCCAGTTTGACAGCCCTGGTTAGAGTGTGGGGTTTTGTTTTCTTTTTTGAGAATTTGATTGGCTACATTCTGTCTGTGCCTGCTGCTTTTATGTGCTAATTACTGAAATTCTGGAAAATATTGTTCCTCATAACTACTCTATTTTTTCTTTATTTATGTGAGAATGAATACCTCGTTAAAAGACCTACTAATATTAATTGGGACAATGTATCAGAATGTCCCCTTTTCCAGTTATTATCCCAAGTTAGCATGTTGGGGTGTAAATGTATTTATATTTAGCTTTTTTATTTTGGTTGTGTTCATTTTAAGTCTATATCCCTGGGATCTGCTTATTAGAAATACCCAAAGATTACCCCTGGGATGTTAAAGGAAAATGAAGAAAAAAACCAATTTACAAGAGGATGGTAGAATTATAGAATGTAAGGACTGGATGGGCCTTCAAGGTCGTCTAGTCCAAACTACCTGTTAAGTACAGGATCTCCTACTATATATATAGTTCTTGCAAAGGTCTATAGATCAGAGCATGAGGGGAAATCGCCCAACAAATATTCGAGCAGGGATTTTTTTTCCCAAGCCAAAACAAAAAACCACACACACACACACACACACACATTCAAATGAAGCTACAAGTAATTACATAAAACAGGATAGCATTTTGCAGAGTACTTAATTTCTTGCTTCCATTCGTCTTATCAAGAAAAATGTCCCTCTCTCCCTTTCATGTGTAGAAAACATCAAGAAACCATATAAGGCAGAGGTCCCCAACTTTGACTTTAAGACTTGTGGACTTCAACTCCCAGAATTCCTCAGCCAGCTAAGCTGGCTGAGGAATTCTAGGAGTTGAAGTCCACAAGTCTTAAAGTTGCCAAGGTTGGGTACCTCTGATATAAGGTGTTAACTATTTCATAATTGCTGCTGAATGAATGTTAATAATCAATTTTAACCTAAGCAAACCTGATTTAGAAAAACCATGAGAGATACCAGTACAGGTAATCCTCTACTTAACAAGCACAATTGGGACTGAAGTTTCCACTGTAAAGCAAGGTGGTTGTTTAAGTGAATTGTGCTCGATTTTACAACTTTTTTTTTTGGGCCACAGTTAAGTGAATTACCGCAATTGTTAAGTGAATCACAGAGTCATTAAGCCAGGGGGTCTTCAAACTTGGCCCTTTTATGACTTGTGGACTTCAATACCCAGAATTCCTCAGCCAGGCACGCTGGCTGAGGAATTCTGGGAGTTGAAGTCCACAAGTCGTAAAAGGGCCAAGTTTGAAGACCCCCTGCATTAAGCAAATCCAGCTTCCCCCATTGACTTTGCCATCTGGGAATGTCACAAATGACAATCACCTGACCCTGGAATGCGTCAACTGTTGTACACACGTGCCGGTTGCCGAGCACCCAAATTTTGATCACATGACCATGGGGACGCTGCAGTGGTCATTATGCGCAATGACCAATCGTACGTGCCCTTGTAATCCTAACCACTAAAATGAATGTTTGTAAGTTGAGGACTATAACATCTTCAGAAATTCAGGAGGGGTTTAGGAGCACCTTTTCAGACTCAGCACATTTATAAAAAGGCATAAGCACCTGATGATGCAGCTACTGATGAAGGGACCAATAATTCGCAAAAATCTTACGCCTTTTCATGAAATGTATTGGTCTGAATAGGTTCTATCAGGCACCTTTTGATTTTGGGCTACCAAAGGCTAACACAGCTCTTCTCATACAGTGTCTTAGAGTGGTAGTAATTCAGTGCTGTTTGGTTCAACAGGAATTTTTTGATATCGTTAGTTGACATTCAGATGTAGAGAGAAAAAGCTTCCATCATCTACAATTACTGGCAATCTATGTTGGATTCTAGTCCTGTATGCATTAACAGTGTAGAGCAGGGTGTCCAATCTTGGCAAATTTAAGACTTACGGATTTCATTTCCTAGAATTTCCCAGCCAGCTATGCTGGCTAGGGAATTCTGAGAGTGAAGTCCACCAGTCTTAAAAGTTGCCAAGATTGGACACCCCTGGTGTAGAGCATGTGATACATATGTGCAACCACTTAAAACCACCTCTATATTTGTAACAGATGTAGTGTACAGATATTTTGTTATTTTTTTTAAATTTTTCTCTGAACGCAGTATTAGCTTGATCAATGTGAAGTTATTTGTGGTAAACAAATAAAGGTTAACGTAGCCATGTGTTTTTTTTTATGTCTAGACTTTCTGTCTGCTAATTGGGCATGATTTCATTTCATTATGAGATTTATATTACAACTTTTCACCACAACCAGCTTGTGAGGTACTGCCGCAAATGAGCATTCGTGGCTGAAGTGGAGTAGAATCTGGATCTCCTGCTCCAGGTCCAGTGGCTTAATTATAACATCACACTGACTTTTTGAACAAGCTGCTTCCTAAGAACTAAGTCCAAAACATTTTATCTTATTCATCCAGAGATGCTCCAAGATACGTGGATATCACACCTAACTTAATTTGACCGAAAGCCAATGCAATGAATTACTTCCTGGCACCTCAGGCTTTTTATCCTCAAAATCTGTGCACAATACCAGAAAAAGCTAGAAAAAAAATGTAATTTCATGCCATAAATACCTGAAGATTGTGAGCTCTTTGGTGCTCTCTAAACTTGATAATTTTCTTGCAGATGTTTCATTACCAAATCAGATAACATCATCAGTGCTAGGATGAAGTGGGGCTTGTGACAGTCGCTTGCCCTGTCAGTGTTGGTGATAGCATTGGTGGTTCTTTGGAATATTTTTTTACTTCTTAATTGTTGGGGTTGTTAGTGTTAATCTACTGTAGATGCCCAAGAAAAGCGCCAGGTTCAAGGAGCATCAAGGATTTCACAGTTCAGCCTTGAGCTACAAATGCTGTCTTCTGAAGATAGCGTTGCCATATTCGCAAGTCAC